TATTTGTTGATCAGTATTAGAAGTTAGATGCTCGGATGGTTGCGGTTGAGTGAATATTAAAGTTATCAAAAGCTTTTCGTAATGTTCTCTACTGAAGTATAGTGAATAGTTTGTCTGAAATCTTAAATGAAAATTATATAAATTAGTTCGTACAAATATGGCACAAATGAGAATAATAGTTTTGTGCTTAAAAGAACACGGAGCCTCATAAATTATAAATACACTAAAAATAATGTTTTCAAATAATTATTTTAAAATATTAGTTTACGAATAAAAATAATAATATTTTCATTCTTGTGATGATACAATGTGCTAAGTCCAAAATATAATTAACAAATTTCAAATTTGTAATTGGCAATTTCTAAGTCAAAATAAAGTCTTAGTTAAATTGTTTTAGAAGTTTATTGAATTGTAATCAAAATCAAAATAGTTAAGAATTGATATTATAGATCTTAAAGGAGTCCATGCTGTCAAAAAAGTTCACATATGATCAATGGAATAGAATTAGAAGTCTAAAGTGTCAAAGAGCCATACAAGTTATGCTACAAGTTCTCAGTCACAAATTTCAACGCATTTTTTACATATAAAACATTTAAATTTAAAAAATGCTATTACTAGAACAATTGTGGCCCTTTGAATCAACTTTCTAATCCATTTTGAATCACCACAATCGAACATTTGAAGAGAAAATTATGATAGAAGTACTAATAACCGCTCAGACGGCACTCGTTGGCTGCCCACTTGATGCTCGAGCGATGGTTTGACATTAAAATCTCTTTTTCTTCAAAAACTTGATTTTGAACTCATTTTCATCACAAACATTTTCCCCTATATATATCCTACCATATGAACATACCAAAACGTGTTGAATCATTATTATTTCATATTGGAGATTTTGATCCTTTTTGAGTTATTTTGAGGGGTTTTATCCGTGATCATATTGGAGTTATTTATTTTGTGCGATTTATAAACTGTGGCATTCAAACATAAGATAAATTAATATGTTGATCTAATCATCTAGAAATAATTAAAAAATATCTTGTTACTTTTAACTGATCATTTTCGCACGTTAGGCCTAAATAAATTGATAATCTAAACTTTCAAGTGGTGTTAAAGCTTAATTAGAAACCTTGAACCAAAAATTATCTAGATGAGTCAATCACATTCTGATGTAGTATCTGAGGATGATACAAATATTCATGAGGCTTATGACTAGCTGTATAGGGAGAGTCTCAAGTTACACAAGGCTAAAAGATCAATTTTTAATAAATTGAATAAGGTCGAATTAGAGGAAAAAAGGTTGGGGTTTGTAATTAAACATCAGGATACTGCCAAAGGATTGAATGAATTAAGGGCTGAGAAAAAACCTTAGAAATTAAGGTTAAAATTCCTATAAATGATCTTGAAAAATCAAATTTCCAACTTCAATCATTCTCTAACGAATCTAAGAAGATATTACATGTTAGATCTAAACAAAATAGATGGGACTGGAGGAGATTTAGAATACAATGAAACAAATTCTCATACTGCTTCCTGTGCTAAAAATAAGTTTATACCTACCTTGATGAAACCTAAGATACAAAACTTGAAACATAGATTTACTCCTAGATTTATCCCCACATGTCACCACTGTGGTAAGTTAGGAGACATATGACCTAAGTGTAGCGAGCTCTTAAGTAGGAACAATACCAAGAATATAGGTGCTCAAGGACCGAATTCATATGTAAAACATAGGTTTCCTCCACCTAAGGTTCAAAATTTGAAACTTATGTTTGCTTTCAAATTTGTTTCTACTTATCATAATAGTGGTGAGTTGGGTAACATCAAACCTAAGTGTCCTATGCCTCTGATTACGAACAATAAACAAGAATTAATTACTCATGTTAGATTCTTGACTAATCAATTGAATCACTTGACTGAGCTTAATGACTCAATTGACTAAAATTACATCTTCATTTAAGAACTTTTGGATCAAAAGGAGTGAACTCATAAATAAAAATGCTCTTCGCTGCGGGAAGAATGACTTTCCTTTGCTGGTGCTTTAGGTTCACTTCAGTAGTTCGTAAGCCTTCAGTTCTTGCTCTTCTACTGGTTACCAGCTTATGACCTGTTTAAAAATGGGGAAAAAAGGAAAGTTTTATTGGACATGTTAATTTTTTATCAAATACTAGTAAGTTTCATTATTGGTAAATTAAATTTTCATTAACTTGTTTAGACCTTGTTTTGAAGTACTAGGTATGGTTTATTAGGCGTATCTTATGCACTACACACATTAAACTCTTATGAGTAGATTTTAAATGCACATTTGAGATTTAAAATGACGATCATTTGTGTGGTGAATTGACTTTGAATATGAAATGATATTTAACTAGATTGGCCTAAAGCTAAAGTACATTCCCCTAAATGAAAAAGATGGCTGAGATTCAAAAAATTTCAAATATATAAAAAAACTGAAATTCATCATGTACACTTCTTCGAAGGCTATTTGATTTGAGCAATTAAGTTTCATAACCTGATGTCCTATGGTCAATCGACTTTGAATCATTGGCCCAAAACTCGTTACAGTAGTCATCTTAATCGCTTAACGGAAAAGAGATAACACATAAAATATAAAAGAAAAATGAGAGGAAAAAATATGTGTGCACTTATTGATAGAGGGAGAACGAAAATTTATACAATAAAAAATTAATATGAGCTTTTCATTTAAAAGGTCCTAGTATCATTGGGTTTAACTTTATAATTTAGGAATATATTCATTTACCAGTGATTCTTTCCATGTCTTAATTTAAGATTTTGAGATTTGCTTAGAGGAGTTTAGTGACACTTATCACACATATGTAGTTTATACAATTTACTCCATTTAGGTTTAAAATAAGTTGTGGAAAGATTTACTCTTTTTTTATGAATTATGTATGTATAATTAAGCAAATAACTGTTAAAGATGAAAATTCATGACAAAAAACTTCTAAAAAAAAATTAGATCTCAAAATTGGAAAATTTTTACTCTTCTATCAAATATTTTTACATAATATTTGCATCATTATACATGTGCATATTTTTTTTACTCATTCCTCTCTGTGTTTTACATGATTATTATTTGTCTTTCCTATATTATTCGTGAAAAGAAGGGGGAGAGACATTTATTTATTTCAGAGAGTTGATTATATGAGTTTGGGGAGTTAGGGGAGAATTTAAAATTTTGAAATTTTTGATTGATGGATGACTTAGGAGGAGTCATTTGATATATTTGCTTGAATTTCACTATTGATATAATGTTTCATTTTGTCTCTATTGATATAAAATTTCAAGGTTTATTTCGAAGTTTATAATTCACATGATATTCCGTGCTTCATTGTTACACATATTTTATTATGTTGTTTTATTCAACTTAGTTATATGATTTTGGTTTTGGTAGTTTCCTCTTATGTTTCACGTGGTATTGTGATTTCTATGTGTTTTAGGAAACAGGTTAACAAGATGTTGAAATGTAGTTTGAAAAGTTTCTATTGGGTAGAATGTATTGGCCTTTTGATTTTGAAATAGATGATTTTGTCTGTGAATGCCAAAAAGGGAGATTGTTAAGTTCAAATTATAATTAGCAATTTTCACATTTGTAATAGGCAATTTCGAAAGTCAAAATCAAGTCCTAGTTGAATTATATTAGGAGTTTATTGAGTTGTAATCAAAGTTAAACTAGTTATGAATTAGGAGTATAGGTCTCAAAAAAGTTCAGAACGTCAAAAAATATTACATATAATCAAAGGAATGCAATTAGAAGTCCAAAAAGTGTCAAAGAGTCTCATAAGTTATGATTCAAATTCTGAGTTGCAACTTCCAATGCATTTTTTTCATATATAAAACATTCGAATTTGAATTGCCTCAATCGAATATCTAGAGAGAAAAATTTTTGATAAAGACACTAACAATGGCTTAGACGGTGCCGCTGGCCGTCCACTTGACGCTTGAGCGATTGGTTGACATCCAAAATTTCTTTTTGCCTCAAAAACTTGATTTTAAACTCATTTTCATCCCATACACTTTCCCCGATATATATTCTACCTATGAACATCCCAAAGTGCATTGAATCATAATTATTTCATAAAGACCATTCCTTAAAGATCCAAATCATTTTCATTGATTTCAAGATTCAACTACCATACTATGTGATTCATAGATTCATCCGAACTTAGATTTGTTGATCGAGTTATATATCTTTATGGTAAACCACATATCAAAACACACAAAAGCGTTGATCAAACACCGAACCTACCTTTGCCAATTAGCTTGCAGAATTATTGGAGTTTTCGGAAGAGGCACTTGGAGTTCCAGCATTAAAGAACGAGATTCATTCTCGGAAGACCACATTAGATAAACGATACCAGGGGTCGAGAGCTGGTGTGAGGACCACGCAATCCAAGAAAGCCAAGATGATTACAGTTAGAAGGTCGGAGGGGACTAAAGGTTATTCGTGTTTGGACCATACTGTAAATCTCATCATTTACAATGCATTGTCGATTGGTAAAGTGCCCCAGAGATTTTTTATCGTTTTTGAAGGGTTTTCTCTGTGATTATGTTGGTGTTATTTACTTTGCGCAATTTACAAAGTGTGGTATTCAAACATTGGATAAATTAACCTATCTCATTTATGATAATTAAAAAGTGCTTTAATTGATTATTTCCGCACGTTGGATATAAATAAATTGATCATCAAAACTTTCACAGTATGTAATATGCGTTGTATATGTCTTGACCGTCAATTCTCACAAAATTAGTAAGTAATTGTTTGAGCTTTAACGGCAACTTGAGTACATCAAGAATCTAGTGTGTGTGTTTTTATTTTTTATTTTTTTTTTTTTTTTCAAAATCGAACTGTTAAAAATCAGGTCGAGCATCTAATGCATTGATTTCATCGTTTCATTGTTTATTCACAAAATAAGCAAATGCTTTGTTATGCAAAATAAAGGACTTTGTGAAATGAACATAACCAAAACATGCGAAAGCATTTTCATGGTAAGATTTCATTCAACATAAGATTGCAACAATACAAGTTTTCCATGAATTCCGACTTTTAGAAAACTACATTGTTGACAAAAAATCAAAAATCATCAATTACTTGTCCCTGTTGGTATTGAACCCGAGTTCCCACACTTCATCTTACGCCCTTCCACCATAGCATTCACGGTGGTTTTTCCTGGTGGACAACCTGCTGGCTTGGACTTAGGTTCTTCCTCCACTGCATTCATAGAGGTTGCTCCTGGTCGACATCCTGTTGGCTTAGCTACTTGCTCTTCTCGATTCATGGTGGTTACTGCCGGTGGACAACCTGCTTGCTTCGACTTGGGTTCTTCCTGCGCCGCATTCATAGAGGTTGCTCCTGGTGGACAACCTGTTGGCTTAGCTAGTTGCTCTGCTCGATTCACGGTGGTTACTGCCGGTGGACAACCTGCTTGCTTGGACTTAGGTTCTTCCTTCGCTGCATTCATAGAGGATGCTTCTGGCGGACAACCTGCTTGCTTGGACTTGGGTACTTCCTTCGCTGCATTGATAGAGGTTGCTCCTGGTGGACAACCTGCTGGCTTATGTGGTTGCTCATCTGGATTCACGGCGTTTTTCTTGGATATTTCCTCGGCTAAATGGTCTATGTGCCTCTCCTTACCAGATGCGACCCCACCATAGGTGGCCGCCGGAGATGCGAGAACCAACAGCCCAAGGAAGAATGCTAGGAAGTATGATTTAAACATGGCTTGTAAATTGCTAGATGGGCTTGTTAATTGCTAGATGAAGTGAAAGTAAAGAAATGCTAGTATTTAATAGGAGAGTGCTAAAGGGATGCATGTACATGCACCACCTGCATCATCAACGTGGCACTCTTGAAAACATGTGCGCGCCACCTACACAATTGACATGGCCCAATGAAAACATGTTTGGTGTGAACATGGCACATGATTTTTGTTGTGAATGTTGCCTAGGGGTGGCAAATAGATCGAGCGGTTCGTCAGCTCGATCACTCAACTCTTGAAAACGGAGCTCGTTGGCGGACCGAGCTCGTAATATAATGAGCCCGAGCCGAGCGGACCAGCCCATTTGGCTCAGCTCGTCCATGAGCGGCTCATGTGGCACGAGCCAAAAAATAGTGACTAAAACGATCACTTATTTTAAAAAGTGACCGTTTCAGTTACTATTTTTTATGAGTCCGAGCCGATCAAATCAGCCCGTTGGCTCGACTCGTCTACCAGAGGCTTGTGTGGCTCGTGCCATTAAATAGTGACTGAAACGGTCACTTATTTTAAAAAGGGACAAAAGTGATCGTTTCGGTTACTATTTTTTTCTCTCCTCTTCTATAAATAGCCTCAATTGCCTCCAAAGATTTTTCATCAAACCAACAACTCTCTTTCTCTCAATCTCCCTTGTGCTCAATTGTCTCAATTAGTCAGTTATTAACAATTATACAATATAGATTCATTTTTACAATTAATAATCCTCAATTTCAATTCATTCAATTTTCATTTCTCACACTACAAATTCACAATTTTAACTTCGTACTCTTAGCTCAAGTCTTAGCACTTACATCTTACTATATTATCTATAATGTATCATCGCAATTCATAAATTGAAATGGATCTGCACTCATTTATCGAGGGCTTGTTCAATGTCAGAGGCGAATCACCCAGGACGCCGCAAAGTGAATATCAGAATCAATTTTTCGATCTAAATAAAGTACTAATTCCTGAAGATATTCCACAGTTGAATGCAGAAAGAAGCAATAATCCAATTGATTTGAATGACGTCAATGTTCCCGAAGTTGAAGCGGAACAAAAGGAGGAACTCGAATTAAACATTCCCGATGCTAAAGGGAAGCAAAAGGGGAAAAAGCAAAATGTTGAGATCACTTCAAATTGATTTCAACGGGTCATGTTGTCGATGGAGTCCTAGATTCCAAAGTAGTATGTAAATACTATCAACAACGATTGGTATGGAAAAAAGGCATTAGTACCACCCACCTCAACCGTCACTATAGAGCGTATGTGGCCAAATATAGACTTCTTCAAGCTGGTCAAATACAACTGTAATTTGGTAGTCTAAGTGTCTATTCTACAACTTCGCCCCTCATCACGTGGATATATTCAGAGAAAAATGCTCGAACAGGAATGGTGAAATTTGTTGTTGGTACTGGGTTGTCTCTTGGAATAGCGGACAACCAACATTTCATCTCATACATAAAAGAATATCTTCAACTGAGGTACATTGGGGTAGGTCGAAGCACTCTTCGTTCATATACAATAGAATATTTTCTTCAAACAAAACAACAATTAATTTTGGATTTGAAAAAATATGAGGGTATTATATCTTTAACTTCGAATAAATGGAAGTGGATTAATAAAAGAGCTTACATAGCTGCAACTGCACACTATATAGACCCGCTTTGGTGTATGCATAAAAAATTATTTCTTTTAAAATTATTGAATTCCCCCATACCTCTAACACAATATATAATGCGATTATGACTATTATTAGAGAATATCGTTGTGAAAGTAAAATTCGCTCTTTTACATTCGAAAATGCTATTGTTTATAAAGTAATTATCGATAAATTATGTAGAGTATTGCAGCATGATTTCGGTAGTTATTTGTTTCACATTTGTTGTGCGTACCATACTTTAAATTTAATTGTGTAAGATGATTTGAAACGTGTGTATATATATATTTATCACGATCTCTCCCTGTAGAAAACAAGCATTTAAGGAATTTTGTGCCCAATTTGAGATGACGAATGTTAAAACATTTGTTAGTGACATAAGTCATAGATGGAACTCCACTAACTTATTATTAAGGTTATGCAAAGGTTTTAAACATTTAAAAATTGAATTTTATAAAAAAAAAGCACATTAGAAATGATGACAACACTATTTTGATTGAATTCAATTGGCTTTTAGCTTTAAAATTTAAAAAAGAGAAATTCGACAAGTTTATATGACAATACAAATATTTTATCTGGAGTTTATTGTCCCGCTAGCTGTATGGTGCTCAAACGTCTTCATATAATTACAAGGACATTTCATAAATACAAAAATGACTTGAATTGTAGTGCAATTATATACTCTATAGATTTAAGTTTAGAAAATATTGAGAAGACTTACCTATATTATTTCTTTTAACATGAATCATGGACTCCCAATATAATTTATCAAGAACTAAATATGTAATTAATCAAATTTCAATAGCTTCAACTTTTAGTACACCTATCAAGTGTAAAAATTTAGAACAAATTTTATGTAAAATGTATGAATTATATGTAGAATGGATGGGTATAATATTAGTCGAGTACCCTATGCGCCTAATCCTTCTGGCTGAATTTGAAGAAAATGATGCTGAAATATTAAATTTAATTGAAGGCTAATACATGTACAAATATGATGCAAATGCAATATGTTCATCTAATAATAATTTATCGTCTGTATCTAACCAAACATCGGAGGAAAGCTCAAATACATTTCCTGCAGAATTAATTGATTACTTTAATCATAATATGCCTACCAATAAAATAATTAAAAAAAGTTCCAAAGAGGTTATTGAATATTGGCAGAGGTACAAATGACGATGACCAGTAATTTCTGCAATTACAAAAGATTTATCGACACATCCGATTAGCACTATAGCTTTGGAGTCTACTTTTAGTGCAAGTAAGAGGATTTTGTCCGAGATTAGGAGCCGACTGAAAAAAGATATTTTGGAAGCAATAATGTGTGTAAAGGATTGGCATGACACTCATTTCCGACTACAAAATAAATATACCGAAATTGCATGTCGTCAGGTAAGTGATGTTTAATTACACCATTGTAATCAAAATTAGTTATTTTATAATACTGTTTTCAATTTTCATGAACGAATTTTAACTTAGCCTACTCAAAATTTAAGTAATCAATCCCAAGACTGGATAAAGGATGACGATTTATGTTTTATCTATTTTAAAAAAGGAAAAAAATTCATATTAATCAAATCTTTTTGCTTGATTTTTTTTTTTTCAAAAAAAGCATAGATTTCATTTGTTTTATTTATTTTTTGCATTAAAAAAAATTGCGAGCTCGCAAACCCAACCTCGACTCGGCCCATGAGACACGAGCTCAAGGTCCGAGCTGAGATCTCCCCTCAAGTACTCGGCTCGTTTGTAACGAGCTCGTGAGTAAAAGGGCCGAGCTGAGCCATCCCTAATGTTTCCAATTACCTCGTACACAACGCTTCATTTTTGGTGAATCATAAACGAGTTATGATGAGATTATGATGAAGAAGAATAATGGTTCCTATGATGTGGATAATACATGAGTAATAACTGTATATGTGTTATTAAATTAAAGATTTTTACTCTTAATTTGTAAAGCGATTGTAAGTTTTGCCAAATGTACACTTTGTATAGTGTTAGTGTGAAGGTTGGTTGTGAATAATGGTGTAATCCGCCTTGGATGAAAGAATTGATTTTAGTAAACAATTTGTCATATTGACAACTTATGATTTTTGAAAAGTTTCAATAGGATTATGATTTGCTAGTGCTCGTGAATCTAAGAGCTTGTTTGTGCCCCATTATTTGAGAATAGTGATTGATGTTGAAATGTGTGGTTAAAAAAGAAGGAAAATGTTTTTATTTACGTGTAACATTATTTTAATGAAAAATATTTGGATGAAACTTAGTACTGCAGAAAATAGATATAATATTGTAGAATGTGGTACAATGATAGGCAAACAAAGCCTAAATGTTTGCATAGCTAATTCAAATTTAAATAAGAATTTTGTTGATGGAGTTTCAAATTTTAATAATAACTGTCACTTTTCAAAAAAATGAGTTATAAACAAGTGGATAGTACTTATGAGTCCTACAACAATATTGTTAAAATTAATATTTTAATTTAAAAAGTAACTTAAAATGAAAATGAAAGCCGATTAGAGGCTTTAAAATGTTCAGTATACTTCAAATTCTTCAAATGCATTATCTATTGTTGATAGGGATGTCAAAAGAGCCGAGCTGCTCATCGGCTCGACTCATGAAAATAGGGCTCGTAGGTCGCTCGGGCTCGTAAAATCATGAGCCCGAGCGCGAGCCGAGCGGACATCGTCGGGAGGCAAGTCGAGCCCGTTAGACTCCCCTAACTCGCCCACGAGCGGCTCGTGAGTGGCTTGTGGCTCGCAATGAGCCCCCAAATAAAGTGACCAAAATAGTCACTTTAAAAAAAAAAAAAAAAAAAAATTTGACCGTTAGCTCACTGAATTTTTATTTTTTTTAAAAATTTTTCCCCTTCTACTATAAATACCCCTATTAACCCCCTTTATTTTTTTTTCATATCAATTACTCAATCACTACTCCAACTCTATGTTATTATATCAATTATCGAGTTTTTACTCTCTTGTGCTGCAAAATATACAATATCAATTTAATTTTTACAATTTATTAATTGCAATTTCAATTCATCCAATTCTCAATTCTCACAATCTCACTACATTTATATTCTTCTAGTTATTATATTTGGATTTCATCATAAACAATCAAACAAATTGATCAATGCTCATTTGTTGAGAGCTTATTCGATATGGGATGTAGGCCACATCATGGCGAATCGCCTAGGACGCCGCAAAGTCAATTTCCAAATGAATTTGCCGGTCTAAATGATATACCCATACCTGAAGATGTTCACATTCACGGTCAGGGAAGTCACAATTCAATTGATTTGAATGATATTAACGTTCCAAGCGGAACATAAGGACGAAGATGCCGAATTAAACATCCCAGATGCGAAGGGAAAGCAAAAG